ACGGCCACGCGCGCACCCGAGCCGGCGGCAGCACGTGCCCCCTGCTCGCCTCCCCAACAGCAAAACCCCACAGCCCCGGCAAGGAAAGCTGCAAATCTTCTGAAGCCCACCCAACTGACAGCAGCGAGACCCGGGACGCTCCTCACCACGCAGGCCCCGTGGCTCTGCCCCGAGCGCCGCGGCCGTGCACCTCCCGGGGACTTCACCACGCGTCGGGCCACGCGTCGGACGGGAGCCTCCGTAGCGCGAGCGTCCAGGCACGCGTTTATCAAAGACGCCCATAGAGAGAGAGCCGTGCCCTGACCACCAGGCTCGGACGCACCGCCGCGGCCCAACGCCAAGCCAGCTCGGCCCTCGGGGAGCAGGCAGCACGACGGTAAAACTTCGCCGTTGCCTTTTCGCGGAAGCCAAGGTGCAGAAACGAAGCCATCCTGCAGGTTTCAGCCTGGCCGCGGCGCATCTCCTGCGGCAGGCTGGGGCGAGGCGGCCCCCGCTGCGGGTTTCTTCCCAGCTCTCAAGCCCTGCCTCTTCAGTGATTAAATTACCATGATTTCACGGCTCTCCCCAAAGCCAGATTTGGATGCTCTTGCAGATTCTTTGTCAGCGGCGCTAGGAACACCTAATTTTCTGCCCTCGGCTCAGGCAGTGAGGAGACATAGCCCGATCATCCCCGGTCATGTGAAAGGAACTGATCTCAGCTTAAGCAGTGGGAGAGCGCTAAGTGCCCAGCAGCGCTGGGCGGCTCGCTCTCCTCGCTTCTTCTCCGGCGGATCGTATTTCCCAGCGCTGAAGGTCCAGGAGATGCTACCGAGAGCCTCTTTCCACCCAGGAGCTCGTCTGAATGCCTTTCAGGAAATTCATTTTGTCTGCAGACAGCTCTCATTTGAAAGAGCTACCTGACACCCAGGGGGAGGAAGCGGGAAGCGAGACAGAATAGCTTTTAAATAAAATATCGCAGGGTTGTTCCGTTTTGTCTCCTTTCCTTTGTGACCGGCAATATCCACACGGATGCAGGGTCCGGCGTTTGGGATTTCACAGGTTCTTGTTCTGCTACAAATTGCTCCGGCAACCTCAGCGTCTCTGCAGGGTCTGGCTCTTCCCTGCTGCTGCTTCCTTTCCCCGACTGGGTTTTTACGGATGAGAAAACCCCTCTTTTCCATATGTAAATGGGAAACCAGGATTAAAAGAAGAAGAAGCAGCTAAAAAAAAAAATGAAACTAGAACAGCTCATCCTGGGAAGTGTCTCAGTTTTCCTCATGGAGGCACCAGTGGATATTTTATTTCCACTTATAATTCAGTCAACCCAAAAAAAAAAAAAAAAAGTTGCTCCTGTTCCTTTCCAGCCGGCAGACTCGGTGGCGAGCGAGCAGGTCGCCGACGCGCTCCGGGCAGGCGGCAGACGCAGG